AAGATGAAAACGAGCGCGCGTTGAATCGTCGAGGGGATAGTTGCGCGACGAGCGCCGAAGCGTATGAATTTCCAATTAAGCCGTGTTCGCCTTGAATTCATTAGCCGCGACGGATGAAGTCGCTGCGGGCATCGATATCCGCGTCAGCGTGCCTGCACGCCCAGAGAATACCACCAACTACGTCAGAACGAGGTAGAATAGCTCTGGGCTTGACAATGCGACATTCGCTCCAATGTTATTCCAAAGCGAGAGAGAGAGAGAGAGTTGGTTCTCGCTCCCATTATCTGCAGACGCTTTATCTCGCAACCCCTCCTTCTCTCTCACGAATCCGTAAATTTCGTCGCCCGCTAGAGAAAACACACGCGCTTTCTCTCTCTTATGGTTGGCAACCTTGTCAGTCTCTTTGTCTCTCTCTCTCTTTCTCTCTCTCTCTCTCTCTCTCTCTTCGATTCTCTCGCACCACAGTTATTCGGTATTCCCGCAAATCGTTATTGTCTTTACAGATTTCTTCCAGCTTTTGTACATGCTTATATGTGTGTATACTCGGCGTCTTCGTCCGAGTATAGTGTGTATATATCAGTAGGGGTGTGTAAGATGGGTCGTTTGCGCGTCAGGGTTATCGATTTGCTTTCGCAGTCAGAGCGCTTGATTGCTCAGATGGAAACTGCTAATCACGAAATTTTGCGTGGTAATCCGATATTACTTTTGAACACGTTTATCGTAAAGGATCAGCCTCTGTATCTAATATTTCTATGAGTAGTAGGGTTTAGTTCTCCTCGTTAGTTGTAATAATTTGTTATGTAAATATCTGTTTGTGTCGATTAAAAATCAGATGAGACAACTCAGAGAAAAGACCATTATATAGTTGGTCCACAACATCTTACCAACATAAGCCTGAGATATTGGAAAATCAACGAGGGTGTGAGATGTCTTATTCCGTCGTGCTGGGCATGTCCACAAATGCAGCGACGCAAACGGAAGGATTTTTCGGGAGCACGACGCGAGGGAAAAATCGTCTTCCGGATCGTGCCGTCGAAAACGTTCGGAACCTTTCTCTCTCTCTCTCTCTCTCTCTCTTGCTCTCTCCGGCTTTGTGCCTGAAATACATAACGAACGGCGTACGAGCGCTACACCACTATAACCTCGGCATCTGTAATAACAATCGCGCCTCTCTTGCTGTCGGATGAGCTGCTGCTGCTGCTGCTGCGTGATGCACAAGAAACGTGCAGGGAAAATGTGCAATGCCGTATGAGAGTGCTAGGCATAAGGGAAATGTTTCAATTTTGGTTGTTGAAAAAAAAAATACATTTTTTATTGTTAGGGAGCAAGCGTTTCGTTGATCTCAATAACGGCGAGTGTTTCCTTCATATTCACAATGAAATATCGTAATTCTAGTTAATTATTATAATACGCACAAAAAATTTTTCCCAGTCTAAATATCTGGAACAAAAAAGCGTACGTAAAAGTCGCCTCTATCAAAGCTTACCTTCAAATATATATTTGTTACGTTACCGAAAGACACATATATTTGTGGCAACTCTACAAATATTTGTTCTCTTTTTTTTAAAATAGCACTTGTAATTACGAATATCGCGCGCACCAAACACTTGTTGAGCAAAGTGGCAGCACGGGAAAGAGTAAAAAAAAAGCCAACAAGTTGGTTTTTCCTCAGACTATTATTCTATTTTTTTAGAACGGAAGATCAATATTTTTTCTATAAACGTTTTACTTTCAGTTTATTTTCGCAACTTGCGCGCCGTTTACCTACACACAATCATCCTATTTATCCGCTTGGTTTCCGAATGAAAAATTTTCATTCTCTCGAGAGTTTGTTTGCGCGTGGTCGAAAGAAAGTACTTAATTAGCTGGAGTTATAGCTTTAATTACATGCATATCAAATCAAAATTTGGCCTGAATGTATAATAAGAAGGCTTGATGATCTTTATTATGCATACAGCGCATAACGCGAGAATAAAACACGTGCTTTTGTATCCACAACCAAGTGCAATTAATATACTTAAGCTTGAAGCCGCGCGAATGATTTTAACGTAAACTTTGAAAAGCCAATTCTAACGAGACTCGAAAAAATTGCATCAGAGTCGCCTGCCACATATTTGCATGCATCCGACGAGAGGGATTACGTAGCTAATTGAACTAAGCGCAAATTGAGCGAGAGAGAGAGAGAGAGAGAGAGAGAGAGCGCGAGACATGTAGGCATTAGTGTGCTGACGATTTGCTGGGCTAACGTGCAAGCCGCAGAAAGAAAAGTTTAAGCCAATAGCCCGAGCGTAAGCACTTTAAAGCCCCTCCCGGCCCTCGATAAGTTCTAATCTGTTTACCCGCGGCGAATCATACGCGCCGACTATCCGTCGTCGCGCACAAAAGCCTTACGTGCGCGAGTGCAAGAAAAATAACCATCGCGCGCACATCCGAATCTCTCTCTCCGAGAGAGAGAGAGAGAGCGTCATCGGGAAAGAAAGAGAGCGGAGCGAATGAATGGAGCGTGGCACGCGTGTAGCGCGGCCATTGTTTTGGTTATTTTGGCAAAACCTAACACAACACGGCTTGCTATTTAACAAAATACGATGATTTCTGTCGCCTCTCTGCGCCCTCCTTCTCTCATTCTTCATTACAATGCCACACTTTCCTCCTCGCTCAATGCTCGTCATATCACTTTTTGACGCGTCGCGCACCTCACTCTCGCCTCTCTGTTTCGCCTGCTTCCTGTTTGTCTTGTGGCCGCGGGAAATTTATCGGGACATTTCTCCTCCCGAAAGCCAGGATTTTCTCGCGCGGCCTGGGGGATCTCTTCGTCTAGCCCTGCGGCTATGCGAGCGGACCTGCTGACCTATCGCGTGCTTTTGGAAACAGATTGCTTTATATATTGAATCGTCCACGGCTGAACGACCAGAATGCGCGACGCGATGCTTCGAAGAGCGAGACGCAACCAGATAAAACAAAATATATAAGCGCGCTGAATTTACCTCGCAGTATGCGCTTTGAAAGCTATGTAGTTGGCGGTTGGGCGGTGCACGTGTGGAGCTACGCGCGGCTACTTAGGCCGCCGGTACGAAAACAAATTACTCGAGGCGGGATTTATTTGTTCGGAGTCCGAGAAGATCTTAATCGCGGCCGCTCGGCATATTCTGCTTTCCCGTATTGTGTGACGAGTCAAAAAAAAAAAAATACTTCGACATAATCGGCAGCAACGTCACACTTGCCGCGCGTGTCGCCCGATCAAAGCTTGGTTTTCTCCACTTGACGTAGCTTCTTGCAAGCTCGATGGAATTGAATCGGGGAGAGTAAAAAACCAAAAAATAAACGAATAAAAGAATTTTGGGTTATTTTCGTTTGCGACGCACAAAGTATCTGTCAAGTAACGATCGTCGAAAGATTTCTCAGAGACTACAGAGAAGAAGAAGCAGCTTCGTGCGCTGAATGACAGCGTTCACCACGTCACTCGCTGCCGAGACCGATTCCGCATACATGTGTATGCGCGCACAACCTGACAGCGGCGGAGCTGTCGCGCGGCGGCTGTAATTTCTCATTTCCCGCTGACACAGCTTCCTTGCTTGCGCGGAAACTGTCGGTCATTGTTCGTGAAAGGTTATTCGTGAGAGAAATAAATCAACAATTTCGTGAGAAACATTGAGTGAACCTTTGCTGTCTGTTCATCCAACAATACAGCACTTTCGAATTGCCACAGCAAAGGTATATAGTCGGCAATAAAAAAAAAAAAGGCGAGCCGCGTCGTTTGCCGAAATAAAGCCATCGGGTGGAAACTCAATTGTCGCCGCTATATAGCAAACCAATTACACACTCGAGTCACAGGGCAATTCTCTCCCTCCATCGCAAGTACACACGCACAACGCACACCCCTCGAGAGCGTAGACCAAACCCTCGTGCCCCCTTGACGACGGGAAAAAAAAGTGGTATAAAAAGGAAGGGCTGGCTTTTTCGGGTATATATCGCGCTACGGTGCTTCGGAAATATATAGACTGTGACTGGTGCGCTGCAAAAAGGGAGACAGAGAGAAAGAGAGAGAGTGAGTGCGCTATATCCATTAGAGTAGGACGCCCCTGGCTGACACGCCCTGACGCTATCAAAACACGCCTTAAAACTTATATTCCAGAGCTGCCTGCTACTGGAAAAAGGCCGCGCGCGCGCGTACGTGAGATAGAATAACAGAGTGTAGTTAACAGGCTCGCCATCGAGGTAAAAATATTCCGCGCGCGCGCTCTCTCCGTTTCTCTCTCTTTTTTTTTTTTGCTCCTTCGGAGCTTTTTGCGCGCGCGGACAGAGAGCTTTTCAGAGAATATGGGCTTCTTTTGTCGTTTCGATTCAGTTTTAGAAATCTTAATATGGGTGGTCGGATTTCTAATCGTGAAGGAAAGAGATGACTCTTTACAATTTTTTTTATAGCTTGAACAAATTTAATTGATCGATAAGTCCATGAATATTGTTCGTTACGAAGTAAATGGATTCAAAATGATCCTAGATTGATCCGAAGGAGATCCAATTCAATGGCTATAATTTTATTTTCGCACGCTAACTAAATCAATCAGGAATAATACATTTTCTTACTGCAAAAGCATATATATTTTCATCCATGCCAAGTTATGGAAATTGTAATAAGCTTATTCATAAGAATTAATTCTTTTATTGGAATTTTTACAAAACTGGTTCTTTTAACACTTGAGAGAGGACACTTTGTCAAGATTGTTTTTTTAAATTAAGGATTGTAATTTTGTTAATTGAAATAACATTGAAAAATATTACTATCATAGTCGAGCTATTTTCCAGTACCCGAGCAAATTATTTTCATTAAGTATTAAACTTATAACTATTTAACTAATTAAATTTATGAATGATTTTAAATGATTATCATAATATAAACGATCGTGATGAAATAGATTTTTCTAAAGCATATCGATGGCAAATAATGCAAGTATGAAATCAAGTTACCCATCTGTAGTAATACCTATTACCAATCTTAGATGGCGTCTCATCGATTGCACTCTTTATCGTAAGCTGCTGCAAATATTTAAAAATTTCAACATTACGAAAAACGGAGTAGTAAGATCTCGGTAAGTTTTCTTCTGCTCTATACTATGTCATCTAATTTTAATAATATTTATTAACTTTTTATGAAAAATATTAAAATTCTAAGAATCCAATCATTTGCCATATAAAATACGTATGTATTGTACTGTGTTGTAGAAAATAGAGCGTTAATCATGTGTAGTTTCTAACCTTCAAAATAAAGATTATGTTATGTATTGCAATTGAGGAAGTAAAGACTGCAACAGAAAAGCATACTTATTGAATTTTCATAAATGCAGAATGCTTTTGTGAACTCGAGTCGAAACATGTTTCGAACAAAAACGAACCAACTAAATTGTCTGCAACGACGCATATTACGAAATGACGAAATCTTTGAAAGATGTATCAATCAGAATCAACTACACAGATTAATTGGATCTTTGCCCCATAATGTACGTTATTTTATTTTCTTTTTATATTTTTAAACTTGTGCTCTTTACTCTATTGTCTTGTATATTTCAGACTTTGCGACAAATAAAAAAAGAATGCAAAGCTGTGCAATCAATGTTCTTACGCAGTGGAATCAACACAAGCAATCTGCCAAAAATATACCATAGGTTTCTGAGTACTACTTCAACTAGATTCAATCAGAATGTTAATCCTAACGATCCAAATCAAGATAAAGACAAGAAAAAGCAGGATAGAGAAAAACTAAAAACTTACGTTATAAAATTAAGTGTTCTTACAATGGTGACTTACATGATTATGATTTATTTACTTGGTCTTTATTTTGGTCAAGCTTTTAATAGAGAAAATTCAGATAGTGTAAGTCTGATTTAATTGCTAACTTTATCAATGATTGGTTGTAATCAGTTTAGTTTTGGAGTATGGATATGACTTCATATGAAAGCTCATGTACTTTTTTAGATCTCCAGATTTGTTGGATGGAATGAATTTGTATATCAAATGTTAGCGAAAGGAGAAGTCAAAGAATTAATTGTCAGACCAGATTTAGATACGGTGACTATTATATTGCATGATGGTGCTGTAGTTAAAGGACGAAAAAGTGTACATAGAGTATATCAAATGAAATTACCTAATATCACAAAATTGGAAGAAAAAGTACGTGAGGCAGAAACATCTTTAGGCATAAAGCCTGGTCGGTGTAAAAATGAATTGCAATTCAATTTTCTACTTAAAAAGTAATTTAGTTTTTGAGAAGTAGTAATTTTTTTTTATGTTTTATAGAAATGGGTATTCCAATTATCTATGAAAGATCAGATGCAACATTACTACAGTTGTTATTAACAACTATGCTTGTATTAGGATTCTTCACTTTGATTTATCGAGCATCTGGCTTCAAAGGAATGACTACTAACATGTTCTCTCAAATGACTCGAGCTAAATTCACATTAGTTGATCCTCTGACAGGAATTGGCAAAGGAGTTCGATTTTCAGATGTAGCTGGCTTACACGAGGCTAAAACTGAGGTAATGGAATTTGTTGATTACCTCAAGAACCCTGATAGGTACAAAACATTAGGAGCCAAAGTTCCACGAGGTATGCTTTTACTAACATCTGTCAAATTTACTTAAGGGGACCAGAGGGTGTTTCGTAGTGAAAAATTAACACTTTGTTTATTGCCGCGTAGAAATCATTCTACTGAAGATATCGATGTAGGACTTTTTTCAGCTGAAAGTATTCTATATAAGCTTTCATTTTCTTTGTTATAAGTTCCAGAATAATCATTGTACACCTAATATGGACACAACAAAGACCAAGCTCTATTTTTCAAAAAATGGGGCTTTGCCACGCCTTTCTGAACGCCAGAGTGGACAAAAATCGTTTTGTGAGAGCTCATTTTTTTTGTTATGAACCGGACTACAGAATGAGCGGAGCACTTTTATAAAAAAGATAATTCTTCCTATTTTTTTGAGCCAATATATGAAATTTTAATTTTTCAAAAAAATTTTTTTTGCAAATTATCCTCAAAAAATAGGAAGAATTATCTTTTTTAGAAAAGTGCTCCGCTCATTCTGTAGTCCGGTTCATAACAAAAAAAATGAGCTCTCACAAAACGATTTTTGTCCACTCTGGCGTTCAGAAAGGCGTGGCAAAGCCCCATTTTTTGAAAAATAGAGCTTGGTCTTTGTTGTGTCCATATTAGGTGTACAATGATTATTCTGGAACTTATAACAAAGAAAATGAAAGCTTATATAGAATACTTTCAGCTGAAAAAAGTCCTACATCGATATCTTCAGTAGAATGATTTCTACGCGGCAATAAACAAAGTGTTAATTTTTCACTACGAAACACCCTCTGGTCCCCTTAAAACAAAACTTGTAAAAACTATTATATCACCAATATACAGGTGCCTTATTATTGGGTCCGCCAGGATGTGGAAAAACTCTTCTTGCTAAAGCTGTTGCAACAGAAGCAAATGTTCCATTTTTATCAATGAATGGCTCCGAATTTATTGAAATGATTGGCGGACTTGGTGCCGCTCGAGTTCGAGATCTCTTCAAAGAGGGCAAAAAACGGTAATTCTAAAATTACCTCTTCGATTTCATCCACAAACTAATTGACTATTCTTTTGAAGAGCTCCAAGTATAATCTACATCGACGAAATCGATGCCATAGGTAAAAAGCGTTCGGAGTCCAGCAGCGCGACTAATACAAATAGCGAGGGCGAACAAACGTTGAATCAACTTCTAACTGAAATGGACGGTATGGTATCCAATCATGAAGTCATTGTTTTGGCCTCAACTAATAGAGCTGAAGTTTTGGACAAAGCTCTCTTACGACCTGGTAGATTTGACAGACACATCCTCATTGATCTCCCAAATTTAATCGAAAGAAAACAAATCTTTGAAACACATCTCAAAGGAATTGTTTTGGAGCAAAAGCCACCATTCTACTCTCATAGACTAGCTTACTTGACTCCTGGTTTCAGTGGTACGTGGATATCTCGCCCCTTTTTTATTTATTAATTATTTTTGTTCTTATGAAACCTAGTAATTTATAGGAGCTGATATCGCAAACGTGTGTAATGAGGCCGCATTGCACGCAGCTCGAGTAAAGAAGAAGAAGATTGACGGAACTGATCTATTATATGCAGTTGACCGTGTAATTGCGGGTATAGAAAAACGCGACAATACGATCACACCATCAGAGAAACTAGTAGTGGCCTATCACGAAGCTGGCCATGCACTGGTCGGTTGGTTATTGGAACACACAGATGCATTACTCAAAGTAACTATTGTACCTCGAACGAATCGAGCACTTGGTTTTTCACAATTCACCGTGAGTGATCAGAAGTTATATACCAAGGAACAATTGTTTGAAAGAATGTGCATGACTCTGGGTGGAAGGGTTGCAGAAAGTATTACATTTAATAAAATAACTACTGGAGCGCAAAATGATTTGGAAAAGATTACGAAAATTGCTTATGCTCAGGTGCAACAGTATGGCATGGATGAAGTTGTTGGTCCATTGTCCTTCCAACCGGAACAAATTGATACGGTAAAATTTGTTTTTTTTTTATCGATATCGATATTATTTTACGCCATTGAATTTTAATCAGGCATCAAAATTAACTGAATCATTCTTATTTAAGACAACCAGAAAACCATACAGCAAGAAATTAGCCAGCTTGATGGATCAAGAAGCCAGGATAATCATTGCAAAAGTATACAAGAAAACTGAGCAATTGCTACTTGAAAACCAAGACAAATTGAAACTGGTACGTCACTCATATTTCGATGGCACTTTTTGAATGATCGATCTAACAAATTGTTGCATATAATTTATTTTATCAATTTTAGATTGCAGAGGCACTCTTGAAAAAAGAAACACTCACGTACGAAGAAGTAGAGCAACTTATTGGACCACCGCCATTCGGAAAAAAGAAACTAATTGAACCTGCTGATTTTGAAAATTCAACACCAATACCTGAATCACCAGAATTGGGAACTCCTCCACCTCAGCCAGCACCAACATAAAAGAATTAGAAAACCATTTGTTGTTATTTTTATTTTTTGTAAGTGTACTTGTACTTCGCTTACAAGATCAATTGTATCGAAGTTTGTATCGAAGTTTTCTATAGTATATTACACGTACTGAAAACGCATAATACTTTTTTTGTAATATAGAATAACGTTTTATTGTACAAATGAATTAAAGACCATTGATTTGAAAAATGGAAGGAAGTTTTTATTTGTAGTTGTTAGATTATATATTCGTTATCGAATACATTTGTTCTAGTTATTCTCTTATACCTCATGCTAGAAAAATCATAAAAACTTTTTAGATTAGAAATAAAATTTTATAATAAATTGGTAATCACAAATAAAAAGTTTGTAGTTATCGACAACTACTGATCTACTATTTTGATTCTACTGCTAAAAATAGTCATACGAAAAAACCGAAAGGTAAAATATTAAAACGTTCTGAATAAAATCAACGATCAATAAATAATTATTCGAATCTGATACATGAAAATTCTTTTAAAATGACTTTCTATTAATTTTCTAAATATTGTTTGTTTAGATTATGTTTGTCTAATTCTTAATATTCGTTTTATTCTACTTGCCTAACTAAAATATATTTCATGTTATGTATAATAGTGTATATAAACATAAATAATTGTTATCTTGTACTATGTCAGGTCACATTCCTTCTTAAAATCATTATATAGTGAACGGACCGACCTTAAATGACTAAATAACAAACTTATCTGAAATATAGCGAGTAACCCTGTATACATAGAACTTTTAATATTACCATTTTCTTAAATTACTAAAAACCATTGCATTCATTTTTTATGACTCTTCGACAGGAACACATGAAAATACATAGCTAGCTATTGTTCGATTACAACAGTAAAGCAGTATCACGTGAGTTAACTTTAACTATTTGTAACATGAACTTATTTGTTTTGGCAGTAACGCAGTTTTCAAATATTATCAACACCTTGATTTTAGAAACCAAATTGACAAATTATAAAAATACTGATTTTGCTATATAAAAAGGAAATTTTTTTTCAAAGCATACATAACATTCAATAAGCGCAACGTTATTTTTTTATATGTTTTGAATATACTTTTAAATATCACGAATGCTTATAGAAATTAATTATACAATTGTAAAATCCTTGGAGTATAGTATCAATACTTGTCACTATCTACCAAAAATTAAACTTACGTACAATGCTATATTTTGATAAAAGAATGTTGATGATTACTACTTGTAATATAGAAGCGTGTATGTTTTTTTATAGTAAAGGACATTTAGTCCGCGATTTCATGAACACAGTTTTTTCCAGCGAAACAAGAGTGAGTTCTTAAAAACAACATCACAATTGAGAAGTATATGCATAAATAAAAATAAAAGACGAATTAAATTTAATTTGATGCGTAAACCAATATCAGTTAAACTTTACCTGTATTGCACATTGTTCATTCATTGTAAATAAATTTCTCAACTCAAGTTTTCACTATAATTTATATCAGGGTTGTGTTAAATCACTTATTGAAAAAATGAATATTCATGGTTAAAACTCGCTTTTGTCTCTCTACGTATATAAAATCACCTCGGTTCAAGCGAAATAAAAACCTAAGTTAAAATATCTTTCAATTCTCTATTAAGAGCGTTGTTGATATGAGAACCAAACCAGTAAACTTTTCCGCAACCGTCGCAAATGTAAAATTTCTTCTCGTGTTGCAAAATATTCGCTGGAACTTGATCTATTTGTACTTTTGCGTTGTACTTTGTTGTACATTTCACCATGTTCAAGGTACCATAATACATTCGCCATGAGCGGCAACTAAATTGCTTATCGTTATCGCACATTTGCCTACCTCTTTTCATCGTGTCCCAGGTGTTAAATTGATTGTTCGTCGACGGACCGGGATGTGGTTGTAAACTGCTGCTAATACAATATTCAAACAAAAAAACATGACTTAACTTAAATTCATAAAATATATTGCTATTGTACTAACCGTTGAAATAATTGATTAACTGTATCTTTCGAAGCATATGTAAATTCGTTTGAATTACACATTTGACACCGACTGAAAATATCCGGTTCAGTTATTTTAATGTTGTAATGTTCAAGGACTTCTTTGAGCTGCATCTCAGCTTTGCATTTCCTTACATTATAACAATATCCCACAGGAAAATATTGAACAAACTGCAAATAAATTAGTTCACTAGGTATTTTTCGGTAATTTTATACTAATTGTACAAAATAACGCATCAATATAGTTACACGTTCATAATGTCTGTCGCTTGTCAAAAAAATTCTTCCCTGCTCGAAAGCGGCTTTGCAAGATTGCTCGCCACTCTTATCACCAGAGAAGAAGAGGCAATCAAGACCACATTTACGTAGTTGACGAGCAAGTCCGATTAGCATTGTATCACAGACGAAACCAACTGTTTGAACTGTCAAACTTTGTTGAGGTTTATTATTCACAGAATAATTATTTGAACTATTTGGTTGGTCGTTTCTGGGTCTCAAATGATTTTGTGTGCCTTTGTAATCAATATCATTTGTATCCGTATTTCGCTCCGAGTTCTATTAGACAATAGAGAATTAGAATACTAATAAAATCTTGATATTCCTACTCTTAATAAAATATAAAATACTAAAAGCATTGATTATTATTAAAACAATAAGGTACTATAAGTTTTTAATACGTACCGTGTTAAATGACTTCCGTGACGCATGTGTACTAGTCGACGGCTTGAAATTCTCACTGTTTGGGATAGTATGATTTTTGTGATTTTGCTGAACGTTTTGCGGCAACCATTGAGATTGATATTGGTGCATATGTTTTGGAATAGTGTACTTGAACTGCGTATCTTGATACTGCATATTAAAAAAAATATTACGAATAATTTTACAGAAACAATTTAGTGTTATACTAAGTCATTTATCACGACAAGAGGGCATTTTTCAATTTATTAAACAAAAATAAAAAATTCTAGTCTACTAATATATTTTATCATCATTTTGATTATTCACAATATCACATAAATTAAAATCAGTAATATGTTGAGTATAATATAAAAAAAAAATTATATTCTTCTTAGTTATATTGTGTTATAAAAAGACTAAGCATTATACTTTACTATTTAAAGAATGCTTTCGAAATAAACGAAAAAAAAGATTCTTTATTGTAATAATCTGAATATGAAAAATCTATAATTTGCAGCCATCGATATCTTCACCCTGTTAATAATAAAAAAAATTATTAAAATATAAAGAAATTTGAAAAATAATACAAATTTTAGCGATCGGAAACGCCCCATTGCTGGTCAAGTCATTGTTAAGCTTTTTTTCAGGGAGTTCCATTATTTAAAACTAAAAGTAACCTTCTCTTAACAATAAAAAAACTAAAGGATTAATTATTTACTACCTTGTTAAAAGAAAAAAAAGAGTTTACAAAAAGTTTAATTCACTTAAGTTGTTTTTAATATATAATATACCTTATTGCGTGATTTTTTTGATTTTCCCCTTGAAGGTTTGGAATTTTCTGAGCCTGCTGCCACTTTGTGAGTAGGATGATGCAACTGATAACACAAGTCTTGAAAAGAAATACCTAATTTATCACATTGTGCAGACAATACATTGTAAATTTCCACCAAGCAATATGCATCTAAAGCTGCATATATAATTTGTCGCTCTCTCAATGGTCTATTCTGCCAATTAGAAAATTGATCCGATTTGTTCAACCTATTCCCAAGGCACAATTCTACCAATTTACTCAAATTTTCATTTGTAAAGTGCTCATCTCCAACAAAAGGGAACACAAAACATTCTTCTTTTAATAATCTTTTCCATAAATGGGCTAAATCTAAGTACCCTTCACCACATGCTCGAACATTTGCAAGAGCTGGCAAATTTTCTCGTATCACAGTCATATCATGAGCAATACCAAAGCCTGAAAATGATAAGTTTATTTCGTAATTATAATATAAATTAAAGTCAAAATTTTTTAAAACTTACCCAATTTTGTCACCTCTTTATTATTAAATAAAACTGTTCCTAATTCTGCCCAAAGATGTTTATGATCTTCTCCAAATTTTGCAACATCTAGAATATACACTTTTTCATGAGTTGCAATCTGAATAAGAGCTAATTCTGGCTTTTTAATACCTACAAATCAATAAAACGTATTTAAAGTTACTGCATTTACATAATGTCACTAACTTTGAAAGTTGAAAATTTTGAGTTACTTACTAAAACTTGGTTTCCACTCTGAGTCTATTCCTACTAGATTAATGTTTTTTAATCCATAGCATAAGAATTCTTCAAAAGATTTCGTTGAGTCTATCATATAAATACTATCCCTAGGTAAATTTAATGTATGATACACTGCAATATCATCTTCATCCCAATCTTCTTGATCTTTCAAATCATTTGATTGAACATTATCAGCAGCTTCAAAATAAATAAGTAAAAGTAAATTTATTAACAAAAACTATTAATAACTCTAAATGTGAAAAAAGGTATAGTTACAGTCAGTGTTCTCAGAAGACCAATTCTGTAAATGCCAAGGCCACTGCTCTTTAGGTACATTGTACAATCTTGCAAAATACAAAGCTTCAGGAGCATCATTTACATTTAGCAATAATTTTAAAATTTCTACTTGGAGCCTTGGGTCAGATGAAACAGCTTCTTTCGCCATTTCCCTCCAACTTTGTACACCTGATATATAAAAAATATATAATATTATAAGAAGTCATTAATTTTATTTACATTCTACATTGTAATATAAATATAATAACTTACTCAAACTTCCATCAGTATAACGTTTATAAACTAAGAACTGTAGGGCACCTTCACCCCTTTTCTTGTGCAAATATGGGCAGGCTTCAGGTGGAAGATTATAAAGTTTAGCCAAGCGAGCTACCAATTTAGCGAATGGTTTGTGTTGTAAAGTAGATATCTTTACATCGGAAATGAAATTGTCTCTGTACAAAAATGGTAAATAGGTTTTTAATAAATTGTAATAAAACCTACATTCTAATTTTAAACTTACGAAGCAAAATTCTCTAGAAACACAGTTAAATTTTTGTCTGGAGACAGTAATTGATCTAAATAAGTAACAAAGTTATGTTGAAGTTCAGGTTCATTTCGCAAAATGTCTTCTGCAATTGACACTTTATTTTGGAGTATCAAAGGAAGTAACAGTACTTCTGGATTAGCAAATGAACTTTGGAGTTTTAATAGTTCCACCACCTGACCTGATTCTTTAAATTTTTTATCATCAAGCAATTCCTGTATATTGAAGTTTGATTAGATGAATGCCTGAAGGTAAATAAAAATTGTCTTCAAATACACTACTGAATAAATATTACCTTGATGTGAGGTACAAAAATATCTTTACTAGCTTGCAATTCGTATACTTCAAACACCATTTTAATTAGTTGTATATTCTTCTGTTTAGTAATAATTTTGAAAGCAGCAATTTTTAAGGGTATAGATAGACATGCTATGAAGTTATCTTTTTTTTGTTTTATCCAAATAATAAATTCTTCAATTACTAAGTATAGAATAAAACGAATATTTAAAAAATATGTTAAATAAACATTTGACTAAACAAAATTAAAAACCAAACCTGTAAATGCTAAAGAGGACTTTGTTTTGGCATAATGGAAATCATTGGTATTGAAACAGATTCTCAAAGCACTGTAATAAGGATTGGGTGCTGTATCAAAGTACTCGTGTAGAGTTAGTGTAACAGCAACACTTTTTTTCCCTGAAATTATGCAAAATTTATTTAAAAATTACTTATTATTTGATCCATTCTTCAAAATTTTGACAAATACATAAACTCCAAATATGATGCAAAGAATTCAACCAAGATCTAGTTGGCTGATCAATATCTGTGTAGTAATGTAAATCATCATCAAGTTTTTTCTGTGTCTTAATTCGTGGATCTCCCTCGAAATTTACATTGCCTTCTGGTAATTTTGCCATTACTGATGCTTTTTTACAAAAATCTACAAAATAATAGAAAAATATTCAATACAAATGTTTCCCTGTGAAATTCAAGGTAAATAACATAAGTTCAAAAAATATGGAATAATGAATCACACACATTCTTATTTCAATAACTCGTCGAGTAAAGTGGAATTCAAGACAACATGCAAAAGACGAGAGTCATTTTGTAAATAATGAAATACAATGAAAGAAAGTTTGTGAATAAAACCTATGGGCTGCGGTTCTGAATAGATGTAAAAGTTCTAACCTTAAAATTCTTTTAAATTATCTTGTTGCAAGTGCGAATCGTCGAAGAATAGTTTTTCAAAGCCTTTCTGTGGCCTTTTGCTGATAAAGTCCCGAGGAACGCGATATTTACCAGACAAATGGTCACGATGACAATAAGAAACGAGCGATTTCGTCGACTGCGAGGCACCGAGATTCTTTGCTAAGTGGCCATTGTTTTTTAGGCACTGTCCACATCGCCTGCATTCTGCACGTCAGTACTTACTCAACCAACTCAACTAATTTCTCTTTCTCTCTCTTTGCCGCAGTGTCGGTTTATATATACATATCATATATGCAATCGGTATCATTCGCACGCACTGTAGCGACTATTACGAGCATACTGATTTTTTTATGCAAATTAAGCTTGTTAACGAAAATCGCAATCGGTACGTTCAAATCATCTGATTCGAGTAAATTAACGTACTTACGAAAAACAATTAAAGCTACTTTTAAATTCTATTTCCACAAAAATTATTTATATTTAATTTCCAACTAATTATTTGTTTATTTTAGTTAAAGAATATTAAATTGCAAGTTTTTATTCAATACTCATTTCTACACTCGATTGCTATCGCGCAATACGATATCTGCGTCGTAACTATAGACGGTAGACAGTAGTTCAACAATTTGA